TGTACCTTAAGGTCTGGAATTCTCTCCTGATTAAGGCCTTCATTGTGTGGAAAGACATGGGCCGGTCCATGCATTGCAAAATCGTTGTCCCCTTCTTAGCAAGTATATCAGCAAGCTCGTTGTCTTTAATGCCACAGTGACCAGGAATCCATTGCAGGAACACTGTTTTGTTTTTCCCTCTCAGCAGCTCATAGCGTTTTCTACATTCTTTTATCTCAGCAATTTTGGGTGTCTCTCGGTTTCCAACCGAGTTTATTGCAGACTGTGAATCCGAAAGTATTACCGCTTTTGTGAATTTCGTATCCTGGCAACTTAATTGGCATAGGGCTATCCTATTAGCCTCTATTTCACCTTCAACAGAGGATCTATTATATTCCACTGCTGCGTAGAAAGAGAACAGTTCAGAATAGTCACCTGCACCACCGTTTGCTTGGTTTTCTATGTATGACCAATCAGTGAAGACCGAGCCATTGATCTGCAGGATAGTTGACATTGATTGTCTCTTCAGATTAACTTATTGGACGAAATTTGGTTGATTCGATCTTAGCACAAATGGGAATTTCATCATAAGGGGCCGACTCAACATGTAATACAGCTTTTGCATTTGTGATCGAGAGTACAATATGGACTTCAAGAAGCATCTTCATTTATTCGACTTAGGGAGATTTTACATCTGTGATTTTGCGCGATGTTAGGCTTTTATTTGAATGTCTGTTCAAATCCGCCTCTGCTATCCATTTGGCGCTAGATAGCACGAGGGCTCATTGTTTTGATGTAGCAAAGGTTACTAGAGTCCACTGTAGGTGGTTTGGTTATAATTACTGGTCATAACTATTATTTGAAATAGAAATTTTTAAATAGATACAGCTTTTTGCTCTAAAATTCAGCTAGCATGGATTGAGTTATTTATTATCATTATTAGTTCAAATGACAGGCTTTATGATATTTATCATTAGCCCAAGGATTAAGTTATTTATTGAATATGGATACCCAACACTCGTGTTCAAAATTGTTGCTACTATTAAAATTATTATCTTCCCCAATTTTTATTGAAGCAACGCGAATGAAATCGGTCGACAACGAATGGTGAAGGAAGGGAAACAAAATCTTTTGAGGCTAAAGGTAGAGGTATCGAAGAGTCCTGCTTCATTTGATTTTGATACTCGAGTTGAGTAATATTTACTTCACAGATTGTTCATGTTCTAAAATTCAGCTTCCATTGTTGTTCCCTTGAATTGCCGAACAACTTCGTGTCCGCCACGTTCCATACGTATTGACCAGGTGTCTTGTCTTTTTAATGTTCTCTTTTTTTTCCAAAGGTTTTGAAATAGGCTAACGCCATATTATAGAATTACTGTGCTACCCAAAACTGTTAACCTTTCAGAGCTTAATAGGTCATTTTTACTTAAAGTAAACGCTAACGGTCGTGATTTTGGTACAAAGCTGTTTTCCATTGGCTTGGAAATGAATTAAGGGCTTTTTTCTGTCACTGTATAGCAAAATAGCTGCGCGAATTTGGAAAAGAAAGTGACCAAGTCGATTAGCAATAATTAGAATTATTATTTTTAATGTCTTATATATTGCTATTAAAATGGCGCAAAATTGTGCCGTTTTGTTACCAACTAAATGCCAATTGCAAATGGTCACAGAAGTACTATTCATATTTCAGATACGGACAAACGGATAGCTCTCTTAACCAAACCTTTCTTGGCGGAACTACCAAAGGACAACCGTTTGAGAACAAAGGAATGCTACATGACACTTTGCAGAGATAACCTTCTAGTGGCTCCTCCGAAACAACCTTTAAACTCACCTAAACAGATTCCTTCTGGAGCCATGAAAAGTGACTCTTCTTCAGATGAAGAGGGGCCTAATCTCATCATTGATGACATTCCTGTTTGTGAAGCTTCAGTTTCTTTTAAGTGAGCCCCTATTTGGCTATTAGTGAGCAAAAAAGCTCGTAGTGCAAAATTTATTTTATCTTGATAATACGGAGTTTTCGGAAAGTTCACTCACCTGAAAAGCGGTTTTTGGGGGTTAAAGGTTAAAATGCACTCGTACAGCTTTTCCTCTGTTTGGGGCTGAAGTTTGACTTTCTCCATACGGAGCGAGTCATTCCGAATACATAATACGTGCTTTCTAGTCACACACGCGTGTGTTCTTAAGTGAAATATTTTGCTTCTATATTATCGCCCATGGGCCTTATTCGGGTGAGCAGTTATTTGGTTCCAAAAATAGTTTCATGAAATGAAATTTTCCGTCCAACCGCCCTGGGTGGATTTTTAGAAAGCCC